GGATAGGTTGGCTGCCTCCTTTCCTCATCCCCCAGGTGCATATACACCTTCCTCATCTTTGCCTTCTCTAGCCCTTCCCACCATTCGCTGTGTAGGATCAATAGGGTCTGGGCCCCATGATCAGAGGGAGCCTGGTTGCAGCCTTGGGGCAGAACAGCAACTGGCAATGAAGGGCACAGAACTTTCTTGGCTGGGCTGGACCACTTGGGAGGGAGATGAAGAGATCTGTGCGCGTAACCCTGTCATTTAGCTGCTGTGGCAAGTTCTGCCAAATTGTTCGTATACACATCCAGGGCAAATTCCAGTGCAGTTCATTACCTTCAGCATCCTTAAATTCCCCTATATTTCATGAAGATATGATATTCTCCTTCACTTGTCCTAAACTGTTATGTAACATTGCTCTACGCTGTTAAACCGCTGCAGCATCCCAGAGGTGGCTGCATTCCAGTGGTGGCTGAAGTCATCCCTACAGATATAGGCCAACATTTTCAAAAGTGGCCTTTGAGGTTTGGATGCCTCATTATTGGGGTGTCTCAGTGTGATTCCCCCAAAACTGAGGCACCCATAATTTCAGGGCCGCATCTAAAAATGTTGGGCAAATAGTTTGTAAAATGTTTTCAGATCCTTTGCACAGTGACAGTCAGAAATGGAAATATGATATTGGGATGCCAAGAGAGTAGGATAGAGAATAACACAGCAAACGTTATAATGCCGTTCTATTCCTCCGCTAGGAATAGTGTGTGTAGACCCCTTCTCAGCAAGATAGAGGGGTTCAGAGATGGGCACTGAAAATGGTTAGAGACTTCTACACAAAGGGAGACTGCAAAGATTGTGACTGTTTAGTTTAGAGAGAAGATGAATAAGCAGGGATATGACACTGAATGGCCCAGATTCTCCCATTTACCGTTTCTCATAATACAAAACCAACACACTGGCAATGACCACAGAAAAAGGAAACATTGTGGAACCTGTGGAACTCACTGCCAGAAGATATCTCTGAGAGAGGGAGGATGATCAAAGCAGTAGCCTAGCCACTTGGGAGACCTGGCTTCAATTCTCTGCTCCCCATAGACTTCCTGTGTGACCTTAGACATGTTATTTTAGTTTGTGTCTCATTTTCCCATGGGGAGAATAGCCCTCCCCCCCCCCCCCATAACTGTTGTGAGGATAAATACATTGAAGATTGGGAAGTTAGCAGAGGCCAGGCAAATACCTATGATAGATAGGTGAGGAGCTCAGCACGATTAAAATAGGGAGTGGACATGTAAATGGCTAATGAGAACCCCCATAGACAGGAAATATACATTCTTAGACGGGCTAAAATTGCTCTCAGCAGCCATGCTTCACCCATGGGCAGGTTATTCCTTAGTGCTCCACTAGGGCGTTTCTTGCACCTTGGTCTGAAAGGTGCTGGGTGCTCTCAGGGCGGATGCTGGGTGAGCTGGACTCTGTTTTGGATTCTCCTTGGGATTCTATCAGAGGGTTTCGTAGCTGGGCGCTGCCCCAGGGCATTCGGGGCAGGGAGAATGGGTTGCGCTCCTCTGGGCTTAGGCCTCCCTGCAGAACCCGCAGTGCCATACAGCCTGGACTGCAAACATGGCGCTGGAGCTGCCCCAGCGAGCTGTGAGGCAGCATTGTGAGGCCAGGGAGCAGCACATTCCTGGCACAGCCATAACAGCACTGCACAGAAACTCCCCCGGGGCTCTTTGCGGGGCCCTCGCAGCCCTGGCCAGCAGCCAACCTCCCCGTGTGTTTAGTTTGGCAATGAGCGAGACTCATATCAGAAAGATGGAATTTGCTCATATTGAAGCTGGGGTCATATATCTGCGCTGCACAGGCTGCGGCCTGGCTGAGCGGCAGCTCCGGGAGCAGTATCGCTTCTCGCTAGTCATGTGGGTGCTGGAAGAGTGCTAGAGGAGGGGATTAGTTCAAAATCCCCCCCCCCTCCGCCGTCTGATCCAAAAGTCGCAAGTTTCAGGCCGTTCTTCAAATTGTGGTTTTTTATCAAAGCAAATATTTCTGTGCTGTTTTCTGCTTTTAAAAAAATCAGTCAGCAGCCCTTTTGTCACTGTGTGCAACCCTACAATAACAAACCGGTGTGGACAGCCTAGCGCTCTTCTTGCTCAGCGATTGTTGTCGTAATAAGAATGTGGCATCTGTAAAGTAAGGAACAACAGTCTCCTTAAGGAACTTTTTAGGATGTCAGATTTCAAACTGCCAAGCAAGGGGATAGGTGAGGGGGGCTGGAAGAGGGGCCAGACAGATGGGGGGGAGGAAGATAAATAGATAATTAGATTCACATCAATGGCACTATACACATACTATAAAAAATAATAGATAGATCAGTACAAAGGTGAGGTTGAAATACCCGAGTCAGATTAGATAGCTAGTGGGCAGTATAGGGATAGATAGATGGATAGATAGAAGGACTGTATAGGGACAGATAGATGGATGTGAGGGGCTTGAAATAAAGCATATGGTACAGAGAAGCAAAGATACAATGTGGGAAATGGTTTCAAGGGATGGGGATAAAACAAAAGAGAACATTGTATTTTATAATCAAATACTGTCCCCTCCTACCCACTGAAATGTCCCTCCATTAAGGCTCTAAATCCAGCTTCAGGGTGTGGTCTCATGCTCTGTAGTATCACCAGACACACAGGTTGTGTGGTCTCTAGTCATTACAGCGGGGAACTAGAAGTCAGGACTCCTGGGTTCTGCTCCCAGCTGTGGGAAGGGCTGTGATCTAGGTTCCTGCCCTGGTTCCACCACTGCTATTGGGCAAGTCATCTCAGTAGCTGAGTAGCCCGGCTGATGAAATTGGGACAGTGATAGTTATCTTGGGAGACTGAGGGAGGCTTTAAAGCTTAGAAGGACAATTTAAAAATCGCTCCTTGGTCTGAAAATGTATTCGCTGTTACAAGTAACATATAAGGTGACTAGAACTACCAGAGAGGAGATTGGTCTTTTCCAAAGCAACTGATTGATTTAGGAGCACAAGCCCCGTTGTCAATGGGACATACGCTGTTGATTGTAATGGGAGTTAGGAGCCTAAATACCTTTACGGATCTGGCCCTTAGGGCTTTCAGGATCCCACCTGTGTTTGAGCCAAGGCAGTTGCTGCTTTCCCTGTTTATTGGGACCTCAGGCCCAGTGATATGGCAGGGACAAATGCCTACTCTCTAGTTGCAGGGATTTTGACCTTTGCTGGAGCAAATCAATTACAGCAGAAGCTTCAGCCCTAAGGGATTTCCAACCCCGCCCAGGGGAAACCCCCTCTGTTCCCCATCCTCCCGGGAAAAGCAACCCATCAGAGCTGCTGCAGGATGCATGCAGCACTCTCCCCCCTCCCCTCAGGAGCCCGAGGAGTTTTGGGTATGGGAGGAGGGAGAGGAGCAGCCCTGCCTTCCCTGGAGCTGCCCCCATCCAGGTGTGGGACGGGGGAGAAGAGGAACCCACTGTGGCTACTGCCCTAGACCTGGAGGAGGGCTCAAGGGCCCCACAGTTGTGGGTGGGGCAGAGCTGGGAATGGGACTGGGAGTGTGGTGTAACTGGGACCCAACTGCCCTCACTTCCAATGGGGGAAAGGGGGGCTGGCAGAGCTGTAATTGCCCCAGCACTGTGTATGGGGGGGGGCAGAGCTGTAACTGCCCCAGCACTGTGCAGTGGGGGGGGGAGGAGGCGTGGCAGAGCCA